GGGGGGGGGGGGGGGGGGGGGGGGGGGGGGGGGGGGGGGGGGGGGGGGGGGGGGGAGGGGTGGGTGGGGGGGGGGGGGGGGGGGGTGTATGTTATTCCTCGTTATTCATTTACCCCACATTATCGTGATTGTAATATATTTAGCAGACTATGTTGTCAGAAGGAATAAAAAGGATTCATTATACTTTTCCGTCTCCGTCCATTATAATTAGTCTAATCGTATACTGTGTTAATATTACTGTTTTTAATACTTTAAATTATATACCTGTCAATAAAGAAATGTCTTGGTTTACGGGCTGGTAATTCAATATTAAAAGATTCAGCTTCCATCACTCGCATGGATAAGTACTAAAATTCACAACCCTCTTATTTATCAGAAAGGATGTTAACCTCGCGATCACAATTGGAGTGGGAAATCTTTAAGAAATTTTAATTCATATTACGTATTTCCGTTTATTCAGCGTAGGGATTGGCTACTATCATATTTGAATTTACAGTGCAGTGCTATAAAGCTTGGACCCTAACTAATGACACGTTCTTCATCGAGAACTTGACCTGTTGCGTTCTTGAATGTATTAAAACGTCATACGCTAACGTTATATTAGGTATAATCTTCAACAATACTAATACCTAACGTCTATCGGATCTGATCTTACTTATCTGGGGTCGTGGCAAAAAGTGTAAACATTGCGCATTGTATTAATAGTCGTACAACCCCTTGATCACATCAAATTCTCAAATTATGATTGGTGCAAATATCAATTATTAGCACAGACACTAACTGAACTTTTATTTTTTCAAACCTCACACGCTTCGACTCCCTCTCGCTCACTATAATACTATGGGCATACTTCATCTAGATGCTCATAACCGTCCGATCTCGTCGTCGCTAACACTATGGGCTGGATGCGTTTTATCGATTATATATTTGAAGTCAGACTCCATCCGGGATGTAAATTCGCCGTCGTCGCCGTCGTCGTCGCCGTGGAACAAGCGGCTGAATTGGAAAGCCTGCCTGCCTGCCTGCTTGCCTGCTTGCCTGCCTGCCTGCTTGCTCTGTCCTGTCTGCACGGACGTTCACGGTTTATCCTTGATTTGTGCTATAGTGATAGCCGACCGTTTCGACAAGACGCCTCGCAGTTTTACTCTTGGTTTGTACCATGATGGGCCGGCCACTTTTCCGGGGCACAGATTACCCTATATCCACATAGCCGACCATTTCGACAAGGACATTTTGAAAAGAGAGAAGAAAATATGACCTGTTTTGCATCACCTCTGTTTGCGTGATGATATCCGGCGCCGGTCACCCTTGCCTGGACCGTATATCCTTGGTTTGTGCTATATGGATAGCCAAATTACCTGCAGTATATCCTTGGTTTGTGCTATAGTGGCCAAACATCGTTATATTACAGGATATCCTTGGTTTGTGCTATATGGATAGCCGACCAATTTGCAGTATATTCTTGGTTTGTGCTATATTGATAGCCGGCCACTTTTAAGTATATCCTTGGTTTGTGCTATATTGATTTCGCTTTACTCTTTCTACCGACAATCTCTTATAAGCTCAACAACAATTTGAGTCTTTTGGTAGTGTTAGTGACAGTGGGGAGGCTTTTGTTATACCTGTAAATAGTATTTCCGTAATTGATAATAATAATAAAGTTGAAGTTTTCGTTGTAAGCTAAAATCATGGTTCTGAAGTTTTCTACCGTGTTGTAACAAAATCTGATACTATCGCATAATGCTACGAAACGAAGCGTTAACTAGAACTTGTAAAACTGCAATGTAACGGCAATTTTAATTTTTCGGTAGTCCGTTTACCACGATCAAACCACTCGAAGTGAGATTGTTTTTCGACTTGTACTAATTCGGACAAGTATCGAGCGACATTTATCGCGCGTTTATGACGATTATGATCAGATATTGTAAGGGCAGGGCGTAATCTTATACGTCTTTATTATAATGGTTATTTGCAAGAACTTTCTCGTAGTAGAGTAGTTCACTGGTGTATTGGTCGGATCTTACATCATAATTCGGCGATTGGTACCTGATATGGCAGGGGAAAGCTTTAACGCAGTCGGGAGACCAAACGCAGATCAAGACATGATATACACCATACAGACTTTGCGCCTCTTGGGACATGCTCAACGTTCAGCTTTTCTTATTATAAATTAAAATGGCAAGCTAAAACGACATTAAGCGTAACTGAATGTCGTCAGTAAATACGTCATAGAATAATCTTTGATGCACCATCCGCGCGGCTTCTGTCTACGGAAAGATTCGCATCCATTAAATATTGCTCGGGTCATGGAAAAATAGATGAATTGATGCGAGTTATTAAATACCATGTAAAAATGACTAGTAATAGACTTTTCTTATGTTCAAAATACTGCGTAATATACATTATTGATCAAATAGTGCACACATACGTACCATTGTAAGTATTTAATACCTATTCACGATCAGAAAGCGGGAAACGTCGCAGTGAATATTATCACACAATTTCCAGACTTTTCTGTTATTTTCTCCCCATTTTTCTCATCGTGTTTCTCCAAGGCTGCCAGTAACCGTCTGCTTTGCAGATGCAGGCACCCACGCAGTCTCTTCGTGCATATTCTACACCGTGACAATATTTCGTGTATAAAGTTATCACACGACATTAATGGTTGCGAATTGTAATTTTTTTAGCATGCTTGAGTGGAAATATGACAATAAAAAGCAGTCTGACGTTCTCGGTTTTCAAAGTATGACATGCCAAGCTGTGAAGTTGAAAGTCGGTTTATACATATGTCAACGAAACGAACTCCTGTATATTTTCAACTTTTTTTTGCTGAAATTTATTTATATGCAACCATGATAACGTTCCAAGACATCGAGGCTCTCAATTTTTAAATAAAAAGACGTTAACCAATTTCCTTATTCAAAGCTAAAAACCAAGCACACGTAATAGTGTAACATGAAGTTGCTATCAAAAAAAAAGAAAAAAACTTGTCGTTAAACCACGTCACTAGATTATATGATTAGAAAGCATGAAAACCTTGTTACAACATCCTAACGATTGTCAGGGATAAAAGTTTACTTAGGACGCGATTATAATAATTAGTTAATAAATTACATTTATTACGTAACGTAATTTTGATAACTGCGGTCTTCTCAATAGTTTTGTCATCAAAGACTAAACGTGGTTTGTTTGTTTATGTGACTAACTGTGTATATTATTCGTCATATAACAGTGATAAGATAACATCGCAAAGTTTAAATTATTGAACGCCGCAAAATTTCGGCGCTTATATTATAGTTTTACTTTACTTCGTTCCATTTTGGGTTCGCGTACAAATCGAACCTTTGCTTGCATTAGTTTGCATTCGCAAAAATAATGTAGATGTAATTTTATTATCGTTTTCGAAGAAAAAAAAAGTACTCGGATCCAAATTTATTCTAATTTCAATGTAGAAGACGTTGTTGTTTGTCTTTTTTTGTTCTCGGGTGTTTCCAATTAATGCTTTCTTGTATTGCGATTCTAAAATAAAGTTTTATATTCAAGTACAGTACGATCTACTTGCCAATTTTAATTGAGCATACCAAAAGTTATAGCATGGCCTGATTTTATCACCTGACAATCATGTGTCATATTTAGCAAGTGGCCTGACTTTGTTACTGGTGGCCTGATCCCCAGTCAGAACCACACTCAACGGATTGGTATTACGTAATAGTAACGACTAATATCAGCCCACTCGAATATGACATCAACAATGCCCATGCCCATGCCATGTTTAATGATAGAGAAATATGGTTTACTTGTACTGTGAAAGATATGCAAACAACAAGTGCACTAAGTAGAAGCGTAATGCTAAACTAGATTACAGTTTCCTGACTTCTGCAATAGTTCTCTTGAACGTATTTTTCTACATAATGCCCGAAGGGTCAAGAAAGAGCACGTACCGTTTTAAATTTCCAAGTATAACTCAAGGCGTGGGAGAAACTGGTATTTCATCATCGTCAAAACACCGTGCGAATGTAGTTGTTTGGATTTGCAGAAAAGGGTAAAGCTTATTACGATGGCGTGATTTGCGAGAGTGATTGTCGTATGAATGTGCGCATATATATATAGACCCACTTTTGACCAGAGTGTTTAAGGCGAGTGGTATATCACATAAAAGCAACAAATCAAATATTATACAACCGGAATTACCTTTATTCGAAAATGTCTCTGACCTTCACTCCAGATCGTTTCGACACTCAAGTGAACCGTCTCTTTAGCGACTTTTTCAGAGACTTCAATGTTGGTCGTGTGGGCGATACCGGACCTACTAAATGGAGACCACTTATCGACGTTCACGAGACTGATAAGGAGTATGTTGTAAACGCTGAGCTTCCGGTAAAGTGTCATGGTTATTGACAAGTACATTATTAGCATCAGAATCTCACATTTTTGAATTTAACAAAAACAGGGCTTGAAGAAGGAGGAAATCAATCTGGATCTCCATGACAACGCCTTGACAATTTCCGGAGAGACTAAACAAGATAACAAATACAAAGAGGGCAATACGTATGTCCAAGAACGTCGTTATGGTAACTTTTCTCGTACCATTGCTCTACCCAATAATATCAAAGCCGATGCAGTTTCTGCGAAATTCAACGATGGTGTGTTGGAAGTCGTCATTCCCAAGGCGGAACATGCCCAACCCAAGAAAGTTACCATTCAGTAAATTTAATCATAATCGAATTAGGGTTTTTTTTATTCCCCATGTCAAATATTTTTGTATATGCTTTTAAGATTTATCCTCTCTGAAATAAAAAATTCAGTCTGTTAATAGCTATTGATATTGTAATTAGCGAAATGGTAATCCCGTTAAAATTTGCGATGATTTTGGTTAATTAATTTTGTGGCAATTCATTAAAGTGAAATGTATCTCGAAACTTACAGGATAATAGCCATTGGGATTTGGACTGTTTGCATCATAACGTTCAGGATGGTAAGTGACAACTGCAGAAAACTAGGCGCGTAAAGGGATTATTATCAGACATTTGCTGCAGTTGGATTTAAGCAGAAATTGAGGGACAAATACAAAACGCGCTCCAATTCATTTGTTGAGGATGAGATCAATAAGCGATAGATTAGTAAGTGTCGCTAAAAGAGATTAACTAGTCCATTCGAAAGTTACAAAAATCGGAGGCGTAACGTCGAATCTTATATCGTATTAACAAACTGATATTCATTTACTCTGAACATATACATTTCTTATTCTATTCCCTGAATTCTATCCGTTATATCCGAGAATCGCTAGTCAATATTAATATAGCGAATAAGTCGTATATACTTGTCTCGCGACGGTTAATTAATTATTCATTTATCAAAACATTAAGTTTCAGCGGTTAATCCCGTGACACAGTTCTGGTGTAACTGTACAATGTAACAATACAACAATAAAGTGCTTTTGAGAATTTTTATTTTTTATTCGAATTAATTCCAATGGTATTTGATAAATTGGTTCAATCATCCTTGGAAAGTGAACATAGACTTGAATGGATTCCTTGCACTATTACCGACATAGAGCCAAGTCAGACTGACAACGTCTATTACGCTATTCGCAATGTAACTCATGATGATAGTGATAGAGTTGATAAAAAGAAGATAATGTTGGTCTTGCTTGGAAGTATCGAAGCATGCACACCTACGTTTGTTCGCGAGTTTGCCAGAATATATTCGCTTCCAACACACGAGTACGATAATGACGTCAGTCAATTTAGACGATACTCTAAATGGCTTAAGAGGCGCAACGATCTGATAGAAGGATTTACCAAGCATGAAGACAGCTACTATATGGTTGCTGATAGATTCTTTTACCACTACTTTTATCGATATGGATTCTGCTCTGCATGCGGAATATTTCGATGTAGTCCTGTGTGGTGCATTTGCGGGCATAAACAATTGTGTGATGGTGATGGATGGACTGGCCGCGATAAGCAACTCGACGAGTTTATTAAGAAATCTCAATCACAAACAAATTCACCAAACGATGCCTATTTAGAGTGGATTCCATTTGACTGCATTGATGATTGGGAAAATGGAAGTGGATATTTGTATGGTCTACCTATTCCTTATTGGATTAGATTGATTCCAATTGACGATTTATTGTGTAATGAGGTAACCTATTCACTTATGGTCGTGGATATTATGGTGACTTATGTAACTTATTAATATTAATGATGCATCATGTTTAAATAATTAATGGCTTAATATTAATATTAATATAATGTATTAATTCACTAGTCAAGTGACGAAGATGCCATTGGATTTACATACAATGCGATTAAACAGAAATATTATCTGATAAAATGTAAGGATGAATTATGTCTGGCATGTACAAATCCATTCAAGCCTATAATAAGCACATTCTGCTATGAATGTAAAGCACCAAGACCTCTTAATTGGACTACGGGCAACGAATCTTTAGATTCATTTATCATGGAGTCATGGCATAATGTTATTTATACAAATGATGACTATATTCAATGGATAGAGTATCACTTGTTAATGAACATACGAGAAATGACCTCATTACGCCATGGTTGCACACTTATAGCGGAATGGTTAGAACCGACGAAAG